GAGGTATGTATATTAGTTCACATCTCAAGAGACTTATCTGAGCCTAACATAACTTTTTTTCAGTTGTGCAACAGAGCTGCAACTTAGTCAGCCCCTTCACACAGCCACAAAAACTAATGCAGGAAGTCCTCCACTTCCTCTCATTCTCATTACACTTCCAGAATTATGCTTGTGATAGAAGCAGCAGCATCCTTCATGCAAACATGTATCTTCTTGATTCACTTGAGGCTGCACAACGTCCCTTGGGAAATATGCCACTAAGAGACCCAAAGCACAACACCCTCCATCTCCTCTGTGTACGCCTGGGACACACAATATTCACCTCCCAAGGTCGTTATGAATACCACTTATAACTTGCTAAGCTTAAGAAGCTCCACAGCTCTGCACTGCTGTCAGTTTAGGGCAGCAGCTTAAACACAGGGCAGCAGTGAGAGGTTCCCCTTCACAGAGGTCTCGGTTCTCTCACAGAAATCTCAGGTGGCATTCTTACTTGACAGCAAAAAGATGGCCTTAAATGAAAAAAAAACCAAAAACTGAAGCCCAATTCATCTATAGGTCAGGAAGAGATGAATGAATATTTCAGATCCTTAACATTAGTGGTAGCCTTCCTCTTAAATAAAGTTCAGACCCAAATCACTTCTTTGAATACTGGAATCTTTCAAATAATTATCTTTTCAGAGACTGCAAAGGCTGTTTGTGAAGATGCAGTAGTCCACAGCAGAGGGAAATCACCCTTGAAAATGCTCAGTCGTGAACAACACATTTAAATTACATATTATCTAACAGGCAAATGCATTGCAGATTTAGAAGTTGACAGTGAAAGTAAGAAGGTTTTTAATGAAAATCAGAGTACTATGTTTTCCGAGCATGACTAAACACAAGTGACAAACTAATTTTAAATTTGGTGTTTGCTGTTACATCCCTCTTCTCAGACAAGCCATCCCAACCACTGTGGAAAAATTATTAGTGAAAAATGTGTCCATAGTTATCATGTTACCACAGTAAAGCAACAATAAGAAACTCAAAACCTGAGCAACAGTGTAGATGGAAATCTAAGCTGAAGCCACAGGACCCGAGTGTCACATTTCCTTCCCTCTGACTCAGGCCTGGAGACACCCTAAGCAAAAAAAAAGAACTCAGGATGTACCAGGATGGTAAAATATGCCTCTCTGACAAACCTGCTGCATCACTGCCTTTTTCAGAGGCTCCCTTGAAAATGTGGAGCAAGGAGGAGATTTATCAACCTTGAAAAGTGAAGTACTCAAAACACTGTTTAGAGCTCTCAACTGTAAATGCTGCCAGAACTCATTCAGCTTATTGTAATGCCAGATGTATCTTAAATTCCTGATAGTGTTTCACAGATAACTTAGAAACAAAATACAACAGTAGCTTTTATTGCAAACTCTTGCTTACTTTTTAAAATACATAAACAAGCCAAGCTGAATTGAAATCATTATGTTTCAAAACACCATCCTCACTATCACTTATTTTATAGGCTACAATAGTACAGTCATTTCTTATTATCCAGTTAATCAAAATATAAACATTTTTTGACAGTGTTGCTTAGGAAAAAGAAGAACTCATTATTTTTGCTATTTCAGGGAAAATATTCCATTTATAAAATATAATTCTTCAGAAACCCACATAAATACATCTCTATGGTACAGAAATTTCAAGCTTGTTTCTTCAAATGTTTTGCTGGTAATTTTTTCATTTAGTTGGAATCAAGAATTCCAGGATTCTTCATTACTCTGCACAACACTGTTCCTGCAAATTAGGCTATTACCCAAGCAAAAGATTCCCTGTTAGACTGAAGAGTGTGAAAAGTACACAGAATAAAAAAAAAAAAATTAAACATATCATTAATGTGATTTGCAAGATTAATTCTAGCAGATGAAAACTAAGTTATTTTCCTGACTTCTGCTCCTTTTTCAGGCCTAGGGCAGTGCTGCTACTACAGTAAATGTAGGTAATCAGTCATCCCTTAGGTGCTGTGCTAACAATAACTGTAGAACCAACACCTACAAAGTTCCTCCAAAATCAACAAGTGAGAGCAAAGCTCATGTAGATAACTACTGTCCACATTGACCATCTGAAAACAAACTGCAACCAGTGTAGCCCAGTCTTGCACTGGGGAGGGAAGGCACACTTGAAATTCAACCACAATCTAGATCTACTAGTGGCAACACTTCCCTAACATTCAAGCTCTTCTGCATCTTCTGGTACCACAGCCTCTGTTGATACAAAAGTCATCCTGAAGGAAAAAACTAAACAAAAAATTCCATTTGTCCCTCAGTCCATCTAGATAATTACCATATTTACCAATGTTTCAGTCCTCTTACCAGCTTAATAAGATGCAAACTAAATATCTCAAGGATATAACCATATGTGAGTTTTCAAAAATTAATTTTATCAGCAGATCTCAGTGACTTACCTGAAAGTTACCATTTTCAAAATGGGAAGTGAAAGGCAAAGGAGCTGGAGAGATGTATCTGAAGTCATCTGGCACATTAATGGCCAAATTAAAAATAAAAATCCAGCTCTGTTAAGAGTCCTAAACGAGCTCTCTGTAGTGACAGCAAAAAAATTTGAATCCAGTTAGTCGCATCAAGAGCAGCTTCACTTCTAAGAAAAGCATCTCATTCCACGTTCACCAGCAGTTCTTAGTAAATTCTCCCAGCAGATATCTATAACAATATCGACACAGCAGAATTCTCTCCCTTACCCAATCTGGAAATACAAGGGGACTTAATTGCAAGGAGCAAGTTTAGAGATATTTTATCGTCCTCACCAGAAACGGTTCTTCGAGAACTCAATGAAGGTGGAAAGCTAGATAACTTTTCACCTTCATGTCTCTGTGATAGGTTACGGAACATGTCCATCACAACCAAAAGCAGACTGTATTTTCTGCCACCTACGCGATGCCTGCTTTGCACCTGATTCAGGCTCTATAACCATGAATTCAACAACTTCCAGGAACACCAGATGTTTGTTGGGTTTGATTTTTATTTGTTTTGCTGAACAAAGTAGTTAAATACTGTCCAATATTCTATAAAATACTTATTACTTTTTCTTAGTCAGTATTTCCCCAACTTTGGGGATTGCTGAGGTTCTGGTCTGCACAGTTTCCTACTCTGCAAATCCCCAGTTACTTGTAGTCAGGGTTCTCTGGCATCAACAATGTTCTCTTCTTCTCTTTCATAGTGCTGGCCCTGGTGCACTACAATACCTAAAGGCAACCAAGGAGCCACTGGGGATGGGGGGCTTGGAAGACCATACATTATCAGCAGTGAAAAGCACAGCATTCTTCTTTTAGCAATATTACTCTACATCTCACCTTCTTATTTCTTGATTTGAGGATTTAGCAGCTTCAGACATTTCTGTGGAGAATGTATATGTTTTGAATATGAACTATTTCCTTTTTTTTTTTCTATTTTCAGTTATTTAAGAAAAAGGTTTAAGAGGCAATCTGCACTTTCATATTTGAGGTTACTTTGTTACTTCTTATTTTACACTTATAAGAAAGTCCTGATGTAAATGTGTTGTGAAATACTTCCTCTTTCATTTATTCACATGGGCAAGTTATTTCAAGAACTTAAGACCATCAGTTTGCAAAAAAGTCCAGTGAACTAGTAAACTTTATCATAGGTATTTTTTAAAACTTTTTAACACTTTAAACGAATATTTTGGATCAGCCTAAGTTCCTCAAATACATGTGGTACTTGTGCACAAACAGCCCCCAGTCCTTAACTAAATGGGATATCATGTGCCCTTGTACACATGCTCTTCTTTTGTAGTAACTGCAGCAGTGCATGTGTTTGTGGATGGTGTGGTGCTCTATTTATTTTACCCTTGAAAGCAAAGTTCATAGATTTTCCAGTGTTGAGAAATACATTGCTAAACTGACACACAAAAAGCTGAAAAACCTCTATTCCTTGAGGATAACCCTTAAGTAATCAGACAGCACCCCTAGCACTGGTCTTCCATGGTCTGCTGGATGAAGCTTGCACAAGTGGCAGCAGCAGCTTCACCTGCTCAGTGGGTATCACTCCCATTTGGAGCTGTCAGCTACTGTGTCCACAACCATCCTGTCCAGCCCAAAAAAGGGGAACTAAGAGACTGTTTCCTCCTGAAAGGACTTGGTAGAGTAGGTACACAAATGTTCCTTCAAGCACCTCAGGTAAGAAAAACTGTTTCATCATTGAGAAGAATTGCTAAACTAAACAGAACCTAAAATTAATTAGTTAACAGAATTCACAGCACCACAAATATAAATCCTGGTGAAGAGCTCTGGCTAACAAAGAAACAGCAATTCACAACACAATGTATAGTGTGCTTTCAGGTTTCTCTCTTGAGCTTGACTGAGCAGGTCAAGGGATGCTGAGAAGAGTGGAAAAAGTTTCATGGTTTGTTAAAATAGGGATTGCTGTCCTTTTGGAGTGGCTAACATAATCCTTTCTCTCCAATTGTAGTTAGCAGGAAGGCAGTATTTGAATAAATGGCTCCAGGCAGTACATTTCTCTTATAATTATTATCCAGCATTGATTTGCTTTTGGTAATTGTCTTTGGACATTTTAGAACAACAGACATTATGAAATATATACAGATAAAAAAAGACAGTTTTTCGTCAGACAGCCTAGTACACATTTATCTGGTACTGCAAGTAATTTGCCATCTTGTTTGTACCTGAAAGCAATGTTAAACTGAGGGAAAAACATTTCATAGTAAATTAGAGGCCTAGCATAGTCATAGCCAACAGTAGCATGGGAGTTGTACCATTAAACCATGTTTGTGGAAAAGCGAAGCAAACTGATCTGTACAACCGTCTTGTGAAGGTCTGTAAAATGCTATAAGCAGGAATTTAAGAGCTATAGGTTGAAGTACAAACCCTGGAAAAGCAACACACCAAATCTTACAGTGCACTGCTGGTTTTGGAGCTCTTTGCTGCATTTTCATTTTCAGTTTGAAAATAACACAGGGGTAACTACCAATGAACTCACCTGCACATAAAAATGCTCCGGTGCAACACAAAGTTTTTTAAAAGATCCATGTTGCAATATCAAACTTGGCTCAAACTCTGGTAGGCCAACAAAAGACACTCATCCAACAGCTGCTGGCTGTTCTCACACAAGGAAATACCTCTAGTTTGCAGTTGTGTTCTTACACAGCTGCATAATCCCCATGAATTCATACAGCAGCCCACAGCGCAAACTTGCAAGCCCAAGAATATTGGGGTTTCACCCTTCCCTCTGCACTTCTGCCGTGGGGACATGCAGATGGCAGGTACCTGCACACTGGGTGCTTCCGGGTTTCACAAGGCTTCCCACGGCTGTGAGGTGGCACTGGCCTTAAACTGCCACTGGCCTCAAGGAGGCAGTCTGATTTGTGCTTTGTTATTCTAATATATGGATTTGCATAGCATTCTTGAAATATTTTGTGTAAACAGACAACTTGAACTTCAGTTTTCTAAACAGCACTGCCCTCCCCATCATTAAATGCTTAGTGGAAACCATACTTCAGCTTTTTTACTTCTGTCAGTTGAGAGGAACAATTTCTTACCAAACATCAGGAAGCACTGAACTACCAGCCTGCACTCTGCAGCGCAAAGACTTCACTGTAGAATTAGGTGAAATAGTTTTCCAGGTTCTTTCTAAAATTACGTCATCCCACAAACATTAGCTATTCCTTCTCCAGATTCTAAAACAATACGTGACACTAATCACAGATTTTGCCCACTGAACAGCTACAAAGCTTCATTATCACATCCTTCAATTAAGAATAGGGTGTTCTACTTCCCTAATGGTGCCAGATTTTGCCTGATAAATAACTACAAAGCAACATTATTGCATCCTTTAGTTAAGGTTATAGTCTTTTGCTTCCTTAATGGTGACTGACCAAACAATACGTGAGCGACAGGAAAAGAGCGTCATTCCTCTCTCATGCTACCTGCAGATGTGATTAGTGGTAAGCTGTTGTGGTAGTCAGTGCTACAGACAGCAAACTGCACGATAAGCTCAGATGAGCACCTGGTCTTGCAACAACCAGCACATTTCTTCTGCAGTCAGTCTTAACACACAAAAATACTCAGACCCCAGTTCAGAGCTTGAGAGCACAAGTTTCTGCAAGAGTACTACAAGGTGTATTTGCTTTTTCTTTATCAGGAGTCAGTACTGATCATCACAACTATATATACACAACCAGCAGTCCCAAATGCTCCTGAGCAACAGCAGTGGTATTTGCAATACGGGAAGCATTATGTCACCACTCTTGAAAGCAGAAGGTCAATATTTTGCTGAGAACCAGAAGAGGGGAATACAGAAAAATTACTCTCTTCAGGTGATGATTGTGCTCTGTTCAGATGAGGGACTTTCTTAGTGGCAAGGTACCCCAAAAAGGAAAAACATTATCCCTAAGATGAAGATCTAAGCAGTGTTCGTATGATGGAAGAATTCAGCTTCTCCTGAGCAAAGCCTTGTGCAATTTTTGGAAGCACAGAAAAACAGTTTTAATTGACGATGTACTACTTTTTAAAGTTAGCTTCAGTTCCAATTAAATCACAAGTGGCATGGCTGAAAGCATGGTATTTTCTGCTCTGCTGGGGTGGCTGGGGTCCAGGCCATCTGCGTGGAATGCACGGCAGGACATTCCACCCTTCCGCCAGCATAGCCAGCGGTGCCAGCCGCTCCTGCAACCCGCAGAGGGGACAGGGAGGGATCTTCTTTTGTTTTCCTTATTTGTTTATTTGCTTTACTCTGGCAGCAGGCAAAGGGCTCTTCTCTTGCCAAGTTCATTACTATTGTAAAATGTTCCCAATTACACTGAGTAAAGCGCTACAGTGAGGAGGAAAAAAAAATCTTTAACGTTTACAATGAAACTAGAGGACTTTATAAGCCTTGATTTTAGGAACAGGTGAGAGTTGGATGTAGCATCTCTCTCCTAAGTGCTCAAATCCACACACATCACTTGTTCAAAATATTTCTTTCAAATTTTTTGGTGAAGTTTTTTGTTAAAGAATCACCCAAGTGCCTCTTCATTTAGTGATCTTCTACTTCCAAAACTTGCAAGTTTTATGTTTAGATCTAGGACTATTCAGTCATATGTAATACATTACTTACTATTTTCTAAAATTAGAATCAGTTTGTTATTATCAACATGAAAAGGCATGCTTGTATCTTTCTGGCCCCATTAACTCTCTCTCTCATCCCACAAAGTTCTTGTCCCCCACTCACTGAGTGCAGACACACGTCGGTGCAGCATCTCTAACTAACCAAGCAGCAATATTCTGATAGTGGTAGACCTGACTCGGGAAAATCCCATCCTCCTTTTCCTCAGTGGCACCACGGCCTAAGTCAGCCTTTTCATATGACTCTGCTCTGAGGGAGCTTAAAAGTTTACAGTACAATATTAAAACCTCATTTGTATAACTCTGGACACCAAGTTGACTGTCACAGCCACACACTCACATGCATTCACACACTCATATGCCCAGCACAAGTTCTTACTCGTGTACAGCACAGCTGTTCTATGCCTCTTCCTTTGAAGAGGTTTAATTTACTGACTGGGCTCTTATGTCTAATTTACGGTCCCAAAATATATCTATCACTCTCCCACTTCTCAAATCAGTCAGTATTGTATCTACTGGTCTTAAGCTGCAAAAGACAAGGAACGTCCTCTCCGAGGAAGAATCCACTCCTGTGTAATAAGCAGTTCTCCAAGCACCGCAAGAGACAGTACACAACTCTGACATGCAGGAGCATGTCATGCTCCATGCAGGAGCAAGGCTGTCCCATGCAAGATAAGGATAATCAATCAGAATATGGTACTTGTTTGAAAGGCATTATTCTCAACTCCCTTCTACTCAGTTGGAGAGCAAAGCATTTGCTTCATACGTTAAAAACAGGTAGAAGACCCCAGCATAGCAATAACTTTATTACAGACTATAAGAATGCTGAAGATCCTACAAAACCCTTCTCAGTTCCTCCAAATACATGAAGTTTCAACAGCCAAGAATAAACCCAGAAATCCTCCACTGCTCTTTCGCTATGTAAGAATTCACAGGTACACTTTAATACAAACGGAAGGAGTAAGTTCAGCTTTCTGTCAATACTGAATCAATATAAGCTTAGGAAAAAGAACGAGAGGAGAAGCAGGAGAGTAGGAATAGCATTAAAGCAAACATTCACCACTTCCAGAAGTTAAACAAAAGGCATCAAAACTAACTGAACTGCAGGCTCCCTACCCAGCTGTACCTGTCACGCAGCTCTGGCCCACAAACCACCACAAGGCCAGATGAGAACATTTTGAAGACCAAACGTAACCCTTTCATGAGATGTTCCCGCATTTCTCAAGTGGGAAAGGAACGAGAAAATGGAATGCTGCCTAAATCTGTTTACCTAAAATAAGCCATCCCTGCTTCGACACTCCCTCCCTACCCTGAGGGATTTAAGAAGCATGCACTGCCATGATCTGACAAGATCCAATAAACCGGACAGCCTCCTTCTCGCCTGCACAAGGACACAGCTGCTCTGATGCCTCATCTAGGCCTTGTGTGTCCAACAGCTCAGCCAGATCTTTATTTCAGTAGGAAGTATTACACACTTCTCTAATCAAGGCTGCAATTAGACCCACATGCAGATAACCAAATCCTGAAGGCTTCTTCTGATACAAAAAGATTAGTAGAGCTTGTGTTTTTTCACTGTCCCTTTCCAGCTCCTATCTCTCTTACAGTAGCTCTGCTAAAACTTGGTACACTTCCCAAGCAAAACTGTCACCAGCTAATCTCTAAAAGCCACCAGCACACTCCACCCTCCCCCCAAATGGATCTATCCACAGAACAAAACCAGCTGCTCCTGATAAACCTACATGGCTGCATTTTACAATACTCTGGAGACCTCTAAAGCACTGTGCCTGAGCACAGCATGCTTGGTCCTGTAACAAGTGTATTAACACACGGCCCCTCGCATCCTGGAAGCACAAATATTATTGTGGAAAAGTGCACAAAATCAGAAATTTTAAGCGTGAACTGAGTCACAAGGAATGTACTCTGAACAGCTAGGTAACTTCAGGGTGAACAAAATTACTCATCTTCAGTGAGTCACACAAAACAAAGTACAATTTGCAAAGATATCAAATTAAGAACATTCTGTTATAATTGCTTTTAGTCAAGAACTTCGTGTTATTTCATATTAAATGCGTATTTTTTGATTTGCAAGTTACACGCTAGATTTTTACATAACAAAACATCTGGCTGGGAGCATGTGGCAATAGACAGTATGTGATGCATATCCCACTTCCTAACTTCCCTTTGGTCCCCTGGTCTGCGTGAGTTGGCCATCTGTGCCACTAAGAGAGGCAGGACATTTATCATTATTCTTCTTTAATCACATATTCAATAAATGGAATTTCAGACCTTACAGCCGCATCCAGCAATGGGTAATGTGTTTTAACTAAGTCAGTCCTTTACCGAAAGATTACATGAGACTATCCACAAAAGGAATCCATTTCTGTCCCCATGATACATGGCGTCCCAGTTATGGAGTATTATGTCAGCAGAAAAATGAGCAAAAGAGACACATACCTTAGATTTGAGCTTTTTACTGGCTATTACCATAGAGGGTGACAGAGCACAAAAGAAACGGTACAGAATTAGACCAATTTGCCTTCACTTGGTTGAAGTAATGCAACTTGCAAACAAAAGATAGCCAGTCTAATTTTAGCAGAAAATAAGCTGATGTACAAACTATTCTTCAGATAATGATAATCAAGCTAGAAAGGCTAAACCTCAAGTAAAGACTACAATGGAAAGCACGCTAAAGCATCTGTTGAAGCATATCAACCAAATTAGCATATCCCCCCATAAAATCACACAGTCTTTACAAACCAACACCGCAAACCGTCATGACATCTGCAGCAATTAAACAGCATACCCAGCAAGCTGACATGCAGCTTGTTTCTGCAGTTGCCCTGGCCCTTCCATTCCTCTGCTTACCAAGGCAGCTTGACTTTGCTGTCCTAACTGATAACACTTTGATATTAGATTTGGAGTTGGTTTTCCCCCACCAAACAGAAGCATGGTGACATTTCTGGATTCACGCTTGTAGCAAACGAGAACAACAACTTCATAGACATTTGAACAATTATTTATTTTTCAGAAGACATATTACTTAACTGAAAATGGATTGTTGTAGCCTGTTTTATAGGAAAAAAGTTTCATCTTGTCTAGTACATAACTAGTTTCCAAGAGAGATGACACAGTTCCACAAATACATCAAGCCAGCAAACTGTCACTACCACCAGTAGAGTTGAT